ATAGGTAGATAGATAGAAATGAAGTGACAGCGATAGATAGATAGATAGATAAATATGAACAGACAGAGATAGATAGATATATAAAAAGAAAGAAAGAAAAAAGAAATGAACAGACAGCGATAGATAGATAGATATGAACTCAATTAAATATAGAGCTAGATATAAAGAGAATGAAATAGAAAAATAGGCAGAAAAGAACACACACACACACACACACACACACACACACACATATATATATATATATATATATATATATATATATATATATATATATATATGTATTTCCAAGATGATAAAATCTAGGTAGTGCTTTATGTACAAGACAGAGCAAGAATATAAAAACACTCAAACACTAATACAGTTATAATTTATTACATTGGAATTGTAATCACTATCCAATTCATTAGAGGTACAAATTCAAAAAGAAAACAGAAAATATATCTCAGGGTTTAAAAAAACAAAATTTCGGTGATATTGTATATGTGGGTGTGAGAAAGAAAGGTAAGAGAGAAATGTGTCTATATATATATATATGTATATGTTCAAAGAAGTATGATCTTCACCAAGACATTAAGCCTTTTTAAAGACATTTTTAACCGTTGTTCTGAGAAAGGGGTTGTGTGTAGCTGAGAGATTAGATTTTTCTGAATGCCTTTAGTACTATGCCTGACATCTATATTAAATTCTTGATCTGACGAGGCCATTTAAGAAGAAGACTCAACTTTTCAGATCGAAAAGTTTTGCTTATACTAAATTTGTTATAACTGATCCATACGCCTTAGTATTTGAAATGTTTAGTATTAAACTAATTCCACATCATGAATCTGTCTGATGGTTTCAGAGTAGGCGTCATTACTGCTTTTATTCCAATTCAAGATCGCAGTTTCTTCTTTAGAAAGATTTATATTGAATCCTTTTTCTTGAAACACTTGCTAGAGGATGTTGATTTTCTGTTCAAGTCTGTTTCTAAGGGTTGAGAAGATGAAGTCTCTATCGATACGATCATACGCAGCTTTAAGATAGACATCAAGACCAATAATATATATTACTACTACTACTACTATTAATATATATATATATATATATATATATATATATATATGAAGGAACAAACTATGTTCACCGTAATAAGTCTGACCATATTCTTGAGTTAAAAAAAAATTGTTACTCGAATTAAAAGACAAAGCAATTTACTAAGACGAATTTACGGCCATAACACATTGAAACATCGGTTCCCCCGAGATCGTCAAGTTTGGTCAGATGGGTGACCGGTTGGAAATCCTAGGTGTTCTAAGCTTGGATATGTGGTTGGTGTAATGGAGAATGACCCGGAATTGTTTATCGATGAGTCGAATTCCAGTTCCTATTCCTGTTGGGATCGTTATATTCACTTACGCGCAAATATTATTAGGAATAGAAAGAATCTACATCTTCTCTCCTAGCTATGGGTTAAATAGTAAGAAGTGTATCACTAAATTGTTATTAACTAGAAAAAGATCTTAAAATGTAAAAATATTTGCTGGCTTTAAATAACCTCCAATGAGTTGAGAAACCACTTCAGGTAGAGGGTTAGATATTAAGTTGCAAACTTTAGAGGAATATAACGGTCGACACTAGACTTGAACAGGTTAAGATTCTAGTGATTGGAGAACCATCATCTTCAGAATCGGTACTAAATAAACAGCGGTTCGTGGGAAGCAGCTGCTCGAGTGGAACTTACATCTCACCAATAGAATACGAAGGGGGAAAGAATGTGGTTTGCTACAATGGGCGTGGCATGGCGGGTCTTAACCGTGAAGATTAATAAATGGTGGAGCTAAAGAATGTAGTTCGCCTCAATTCTAATGTACATAAATATCTATCTACATTATGTATCACTGTTTTCATATATATCATTCCAATTTAAGATCGCGTTTTCTGCTTTAGGAAGGTTTACAGTGAGTCCTTTTTCTTGAAACACTTGCTAGAGGATGTTGATTTTCTCTTCAAGTCTGTTTCTAAAGATTGAGAAGATGAAGTCTCTATCGATACGATCATACGCAGCTTTAAGATAGACATCAAGAACCAATATATATATATATATATATATATATATATATATATATATATATATATAATCGGTATTACCCCAAGCAAGGCAGTAATGCCACTAAAACACACAAGGGGTTACAGAGTGTGGAAGAATTAAGAACAGAAACAATAATGATGGGCAGAAAGAGAGTAATCAAGAGGACAGTTAGAAGTGATTGACATTAGATTTAATTTTTTTCAGATTTAATTTGGCTGGAAAACATGGAGCTGGAAGGGAGTTCCACAATCGAGAAGTGCGAGACAAGAAACTGTTAGCATAGAATTTACGGCTACATCTACCTGATCAACCGTAAATTGATGAGATCTCGACGCCAATCTAGTGCTGTGCTTAATTAAAAAAAAAAAAAAAAAAAAAAACCTCTAGGTACTATAGCAAAGAGCTTCTCCGAACAATTAACATGAAAGTATTTATAGAAAAGTCAGAGAGAGAGGCAACCTTACGGCGATGGAAAATAACTGGAGCCGAACCACCAGATCAGGACCAATAATATTGCAAATTCTTGTTAGGACCTTATCAAAGAGCTCAGGGTAAATAGCAGGTCCACCGGACCATATATGACTGAAATATTCTAAGCATGGACGAATGGTAGACATATAGATATGTAAGATAGATTCTGGACGGAAAAAATGTCTAACCCGACATAGTGAATCGATTTTCTCAGTAACTGATCTAGCAATGGATTCAATATAGACTTTTCACTTCATTTCAGCAGAGAAGGCGCGTCGAGTAACTTTCCTGGAGGTTAGCATCAGCCATACTGATGGAAGTTAGCAAGGTTTCGCTCAGATGATTAATAGTGAGAAGTTTAGTTTTAAAAATATATGTATTTACAATAAAAGAATATATATATATATATATATATAAAATCAGGGAACAAATAAATAAAGCAATTTCCACACCTAGAGAAGACACCCTAATGTACAAGATTAAAAATAAACCCAACCGCATCCCTCTAGTAACCACTTTCAACCCCACTCTGCCTCCATTATCCCAAATAATCAAAAGTAGCTGGCAAATACTACATCTCAAACCAGACCTAAAAATATTTGAGGAACCCGGCCTTCTAGCATATCGTAGACCTAAGAACCTAAAAGAAATCATTGGTAGTAACCCCATTTCAGGGTACAAAGAAATCTGTAATAAGCCAAAAACAAAAACTACATGATTTTCCCAACCATTAAAAACATTAGACACACGAATTCATTCACTAGCTCAGTCACTAAATCTACTTTCAAAATCTATCATAACAATAACTCTAGAATTCATAACATGATTTATCTCCTAGAATGCACACTATGCCAGAAACAATATGTAGGAAAATCTGAAAGTCCTTTTCACTAGAGAATTAATAATTATCGCAAGCGAATTAAATCGACTCCCCATGAAAGATCATTACCTGCAGAACAACATTTCCGCCTAGAAAAACGCGATTTTAAAACCCATGCCAAAGTTCAGAGCAGATAACATGAAAAAGATTTTAGAGTTCCCTGAAAATAAGTGGATACGACGTCTAAAAACGCACTATCCAGACGGGCTTAATCACAAATTTAAAAATATAGGTAGTATTAATATATAACCCCTATCAGGACCTACCCACATTTCTCACCCACCTAAGACAAGACATGCTTACGGAGGTGTTGAGGCCTCACACTTATACACACACCCACACGAATATACACACTTATACACATCATACTCGCTAACTCCTTAATGAGCCAGATGATAAAACACACCCATAGTAATAGACACGCTTACGCACATCATACTCACTCACTTTCTAAGAACCAAATAACACACACACACTTAACAGAGACACATCTCCTTTCCAGGAACAAATAAAACTGTTAAAATGACAAAGGGAATTCAGAGCAGCATGAATCCATCCAGCTCTTATCTCAAATAACAACTTAAAATAGTCTGTTTAACCAAAAAAAGGACTAACCAAAATTCACGTTAAAAAATAAAAAAAACAAACCAAACAAATGAAAACTACAGACAAAAGTTCATTTTCTCCACCAAGACATTAATTTCTGTAGTTCACTGCTACCAGCAAGCAGAAATTCTTTTCGCCTGATGATGGCGAGGTTGGCCGAAACTAGCCGAGGAACCTAAATGAAATAATAATAAAAACGAAAGAATATTAATATACAAACCAGTGTGCCTGAAGATTTTAATTTTTTAATATTTTTTATTGTTCAATATATATATATATATATATATATATATATATATATATATATATATATCTCTTATTTAATACATTATTACAGAATCACGAGAGCCAAAGTTGTTAGATGGAATACAATTACTCATTATCAATCTCTCTATCACTGCCGATTCATATCTATCTCTATTTTCACTGTCGATTCATATATATCTATTTCGAACTTTTTACATCAGAAAGAACCGTAGAAAGCAAGATAGAAATCAGCGTTGAAATCGAAGAGAACAGTCATGGCACGTGGAATTCGAATACCCTAACTCTGTGGAGCAAATAAACGGTTCGGTTCAAAATATCATTGTATATTACATGGAGAATGTTGGCGCGTACAACGGCTGAAACGTCGTGAATACGTCAATAAATATGAGGACAACAGTCCGAACTATGTAAATAGTATATATATATATATATATATATATATATATATATATATATATATATAATATTAAATTATAAAATAAGTCTCTTTAAAACAAATTCCGTTGAGCACTGTTGAGAGACAAGGTTATTCTAGAAACAACAGCCACCTGTGCTAATGCAAAGCTCTTCAGTAAAATGAATTGGAGCCCTATGACTGATTGGCGTTTGGTTAAATTTGTAAAGACAATATGCTAGAATTAGCTGTTTCTCTCTGCTGAATGATGATAGCTCAGTGGTAGAAACTCTGACTGACACCAAATAGGTTGGTCTTCCGTCGTGTCTTGAAGCATTCGGATATTTAGTCGCACTGAGTAGCTGTGATACAGCGAAACAGTACTGTCTCCGAATTATATATATATCTATATATGTATCTCTCTCTCTCTCTCTCTCTCTCTCTCTCTCTCTATATATATATATATATATATATATATATATATATATATATATATTGAGGAGGCACGGTGGAATAATGGATAGCGGCTTGGATTGAGGATTCGCAGAGGCGAATTCGAATTCCAGTCGAATCCATTACATTCACTTACGTGCTAATACCCTTGGGAAAAGTGTGAATCATCTTCTTCTCCTTCCAGCTATGGGTAAATAGCAGGACAGACTGGATTCTATATCCTTGGATGGCAACTGGTCTAGGAGAAGGACAACTCTGAATTCAAAACCTGCTGAGGGTCGTTTGGGGACCTTTGGCACTTAGTGCACCAGGTTTCTGTATTCGGCCCTTCAAAAAGTGTGGATGGTCCTGCACGAAACCTTCACCACTATAAACAAATCTCATGTGCTGTTGTCGGGCTGTCGGTTTCCTGGGGACTGATCTGCTTGACCCTCATACGTCGAATTCGACGGGGGGTTCGACTATATATATATATATATATATATATATATATATATATATATATATAGTTAGGATCTCTGTTTAGGCTGAAATCCTGATTTATACTTTCTTTCTTTCTGCTATCTTTTTTTTAGAATTAACACGCTTTTCTATATTTGTGTTTGTTTTCTTTTGCACTATTTCGTTATTTGTCTTGATTTCTACTGCTTTTATTCATCTAATGGTTTTTATATATAAAGTAATGTATATAATGTTTATATACGTATATAATATATCTTCAGAAGGTTTCCATAGATGTGGGTGATAGTGGTGACACTGTCAATAAAATGATTCCCATTCAGCTCCAACTCGAGGAATGGGCAAAGGCGGATAACAGGCGCATCATAACCAGCTGCTTCGGGTAGATGGAGCTCGACAGCCTAGAAATGCAATCCATAGAGGAGAAGGAAATGTCTTATATTAAATTTCCTTGCGGTCATATTCAAACACGGAAAAGGCTATGGGAGTAAATCCAAACAGAAAACCCGGAGAGGAGTCCCAAAGGCGGTTAGACGTCAACACTAGCAACAATTGCGGCATCTCTGCAATTAAGACGTTTCCAAATGTAATGTCCTGCATTCCTTTCGGCATGGTCGGTAGGGTGGACTAGGGGTGAAGAATGTAGTCTAGGCCTTCATATACCATCGTCCAGGCTAAACAGGGTGTTACCTTTATCTCGCGTGATAAACGGTTGCCTAGTATTGTTTACTATATATATAGTCGACTCTCCCGTAGAGTTCGACGTATGAGGGTCAAGCAGATCAGTTCCCAGGAAACCGACAGCCCGACAACGGCACATGAGATTTGATTATAGTGGTGAAGGTTTCGTGCAGGACCATCCACACTTTTTGAAAGGCCGATTTCAGAAACCTGGTGCACTAAGTGCCACAAGGTCCTCAAACGACCCTCAGCAGGTTTTGAATTCAGAGTTGTCCTTCTTCTAGACCAGTTGCCATCCAAGGCTATAGAACCCAGTCTGTCCTGCTATTTACCCATAGCTGGATGGAGAAGAAGAGGATTCACAACAGTCCGAACTATGTAAATAGTATATAAATATATACATACATACATATATATATATATATATATATATATATATATATATATATATATATATATATATATAGAGAGAGAGAGAGAGAGGGAGTAAGAGAAAGAGAAAGATAAGTAGATACATACGTACATGCGTGCATAGAGATAAATACATATATAGATACATGCATACATACATACGTACATATGTACTTTTACAGTCGAAGTTATTATATAAGGCTGAATATGTATAAATAAATAAATTTGTATATATAAATAATAATTGAATAAATTATTAATTTTTTCGATCAAAAATTTTCAAATATAAACCGGATGCGAGTGCCAATTACATTTAATAGTCTGTGCGGAACTAACGGCGACAATGAGTTTGTACGCATGCGTATACGAATATTAGCGTCTCGTTCTGTGCCTGTGTAACTGCGTAAGACTCATCCTGTGTATTGGGGTCTGCGCGTATGTATATCTCTGTGCATATGAATAGTTTTTATGAAAATGATTTCACGACAGCTTAAAGAATATAATTTTTAGCCGCAAAACATAGACAACTTATTTTATCAGACAAAGTATATATCATCGGCACTTACCACAAATTTCTTCTTTCTTTCTCTTTAAATATGTACGCTTTCTTTCTCTCATTCGATATACACACGCACATACATTTAAATATCTCTCTATATATAAAATAAAAGATTACATATATATATATATATATATATATATATATATATATATATATATATAAAAATATTATATATATATTTTTATCAATCTCACCTTTCCTAACAGAATCGTTACTCTCCGAAGCCAACATACGCAACATATAAA